ACTGTTAAATATTATGATAAAGCAATTTAATTTGAGAAACAAACTCAAGTATTTCTCAAATAAGTTCTTTCAGTCAAAATAATGAGATTTACTAATTAAAATTTATGATTGTCAAAATTAAGAGAAGTTATAATTATGATGAACTGTCAAAAAATGCTGGATTTTACCCAATTCCTTCATGTTGTCACAATAATTCCTAAACAACCTCTTTGCCACCTCCTAGTAGAGATCTGCCTGGGACTACATTTTGAATCCCGCCAGGTTTTAGCCCGAACCCGACCGCTCCCGCTTATAGTCAGCATTTGTTGTCCCTGCTGCTGGCCCCACCCCGTTTTCTACCCACCGTGCCCAATCCGACTAACAGGACCAAAAACTTTCCAGCGATACAGTTCAGACAGCCTATAACACACATGCATAGACACACAGAACCAAGCAAGTGACACAGACACACAGACAGCATCACGCTCTCTCTCTCATTCTCACACACACACACACACAGACAGCATCACGCTCTCTCTCTCATTCACACACACACACACACAGACAGCACCAAGCTCTCTCTCTCATTCACACACATACACACACACACACACATAGACAGCAACAATCAAGCTAAACACAGCATCACGCTCTCTCATTCACACACATACATAGGCGTGCTCGCTCGCTCGCTCGGGAGTTACTCTCGCGCCGCAAGAAATCTGGTCGGGACCATGCAGACCTCTACCTCCTAGCAACCCAAAACCCCCTAACAATCACTTACTTGCACAAACACCATAACAACTCCCTAGCAACACATTTGGATGTCCATCCAGCTGCAGCCCAGTACTGGGAAACATCCATACACATTCATACACACACTCATACACTACAGCCAATATAGTTGATCAATTCCTCTATAGCACATGTGTTTGGGTAAATCGGAGCACCCGGAGGAAACCCACGCCAACATGGTGAGAACTTGCAAACTCCACACAGTAATGCCAACTGACCCAGCCGGAACTCGAACCAGCGACCTTCTTGCTGTGAGGTGACAGAGCCAGCCACTGAACCACCGTGCCGTCAGTTAACTTAATCATTTTTACAAATGTAAGTTGATTGAACATAAAACAATTGAGTGTTCCTCCCAAAACTTCAACGGTTGTGTTTTTTCAGCTCAGATTATTTTGTACAAACAGAAAAACACTTTTTTAAGTGTAGTGTAAGTGTACTTTTTTATTACGGGACCCACCTAGGCAAGTAATTCAATCTCAAGTCCCACCATAATATTTTAATATGGAAAAATGGGTAAAAAAAAGTATCCATTCAAAGCAAAGCATTTTGTGATTTGATATGCATAAGATGAGGCTCGAACTGCTTTTTGTGGGATGCTGGCTGTAACTGTGATCATTTTATTGATGAAAAAGTTTTTTTAGAAGAGAATATGATCTCATATAAGAAACTAAATAGCTTTTTGATCGACTACTACAAGCTGGGAAAACGTCAGATAAATATGCCAATGCAATTAAAATTATAGCTATATAGATCTAATATTTACACATTTGCTTGAGGAAGGAATAATGGGGGTAGTTACATTACTATTACTATTTTCCATAACATCTATGCCCTTCCATAACATTAGCTGACGTTAAAACTAACAGATAGCACTATAGCTATTTATTGATTAGCAATCTGTCAACGCTGGGATGTAAAAAAATATGGGACAACAAATAGCTTCAAATGATCATAGCAAACATTAGAAAATACTGACAATAAACTAAAAGGTTTAGCCTATTAAAATCAATGGCCTATACGGAAATTAAATAAAGCTATAAAATCTACTTCACTTTTGATTGTATTTGCATATTGATTAAAGTTACTATAGTTATTTAGTGAAGAGCAGCAGATGAATCTCTCATTGTGTTTTGTTTGATAACAGAGGTGTTAATGTAAGAATGCACAGATCTATAATCAAGCATTTGACTACTTTAGTAACTGTTTGTGCTCATTTATGAGGAAATTAGCTGTGTTTAAAATAAAACATGCAGGACAGAGCAAAAAAACAAACGAAAAAAAAAACAAGCACTTTTTTCGACGGTCCCTTACTAAGAGCTCCACTCAGCGCGAGCTCTCCCGGTCCGAACGCAGATTACGAGGGCTCAAACGGAGCAGTGCTCGTAATGTCTAGCGAAAAAAGGAAAAAGACAGCTGTGAAACATAACCAGCTTTGTCTTTTTGTAGGAAACACACTTTAGATATTTTTAGGGTAAGAGGTCTTTGATTTATTGCCGTCAATCATACTGGTTTTGATTCACCGCATTGTAATTACAGCTGCAGCTATGTGACGTTGCGCGACCCACCTTTGTTCACTGTGCGACCCACAGTTTGAAAATCCCTGGTTTAGATCACTTTAGATCAGTTTGTATCACTCATTAATAGGATATAAAAGTTGGAATTGTGAGAGATAGCTAATATATTTAAACATTTCTGCAGTTATATTTATATGTAACATAAATGTCATATTTTTGCAAAATTTCTAAAAATGTGTATGACATATATAAATATGTGTGGTTTATTTATAAACTAATTTCAAGAGGATCACGTGCTTATGATCAACACGGCTGGCTCCTCATTAGCTCTGTAATCTGCCCTATTAGATGATTACGGAAGCATTATAAATACTCTGAGTTTTTCACTCCAGTTATCTTCGTCTTGAAGCTCCCCCCCTTCCACCCCTACTTTCTCCCCCTTTTAACCCCATGGTCACTCTGTCTGAGCTCCAGTGTTCTTCTGTGGAGAGAGGAGAACCTTAAAGAACCATCTGTGCAGCAATCCACCAATCAGGCCTGTATGTTAGAGTTGCCAGACAGAAGACACTCCCCGCCTGGAATTTACCAAAAAACATCTGAAGGACTCTCAGACTATAAGAAACTAAACTCTCTGCTGTGATAAGACTCAAATTGAACTCTTTGGAGTGAACGCCAGGGGTTACATTCGGAGAAAAGCAGGCAGCACTCATCTTCAGGCTAATATACCATCCCTACAGTGAAGCATGGTGGTGGCAGCATCATGCTGTGGGGATGTTTTTCAGCAGCTGGAACTGGAAGACTAGTCAGGATAGAGGGAAAGATGAATGCAGCAATGTACAGAGACATCCTGAATGAAAACCTGCTTCAGAGTGCTCTTGACCTCAGACTGGGGCGACGGTTCATCTTCCAGCAGGACAATCACCCTGAGTACACCGCCAAAATATCAATAGAGCGGCTTCACAACAAGTCGTTGGATGTAATTGAGTGGCCCAGCCAGAGCCCAGACCCAAATCCTATTGAACATCTCTGGAAAGATCTGAAAATGGCTGCACACAGTTGATTCCCATCCAACCGGATAGAGCTTGGGAGGTGCTGCAAAGAGGAATGGGCAAAAATTCCCAAAGACAGGTGTACCAAGCTTGTGGCATCATATTGAGAAAGACTTGAGGCTGTAATCGCTGCCAAAGGTGCATCAATAAAGTCTTAAACAAAGGCTGTGAATACTGATGTGATTTTTCAGCTTTTTTTTTTTTGTAAAAGTTTGCAACAATTTCAAAAACTCTTTGTTCGCATTGTCATTATGGGGGATTGTGTGTAGAATGTTGAGGAAATTAATTAAATCCATTTTGGAATAACGTTGTAACATAAAAACATGTGGGAAAAGGGAAGCGCTATCAATACTTTCCGGATGCACTGTAAGTTACATTGCATCTTCACGCCAACTAGTTCTCATTACATTAGAAGTAGACTGTTAGGTTGGGGTTAGTGTAAGTTGACATGTACTTGCAAAGTGTCTTACAGTCAGTTAAATGTCTGTTGAAGGAGCAATATCAGCAGATATTAAGCAGACAGTCTACTAATACTTAAATGGACCCTCAAAATAAAGTGTTACTATATATGTATATGTGAAATCCAAATATGAACTTATATATGGTATTCATGTACAGTCATTTTGCATATATTGCCATATATAAGATACCTATGTGGACCAGGGCCGGAGTGGGACTCTTTTTCAGCCCTGGAGTTTCAAGCCTCAGACCGGCCCACCTCAGTTCACGACTGACTATAAAATAAGGTCATTTCCAATTCAGTTTCTAATAACACTATCACGTCTTTTTTTGAGAAAACAGCTGCTTTAGAACTTCAAATGTTCGACAACCCAAACAGTATTATATGTCTCAACAGTAAAAATGAAAATAATAATTTACTCAGGCGAGGATCAAACCCGGATCGGTGACGTTGTAATCTAACGTGCTAACCACTGGGCCACAACGGTTGTATAATGATATGTGACTTATAACATTATGAACCTGCAGGCTGGTTATATATGAAAAGAGCAGAGAGCTGTATTAAATTAATGAATAAGAAGACTGTGGTCAAGTAAATAAATAAATTAATTTAAAAAGTGTGACTGCTTAGAGCAACAGATTCTGGAGCTAGGGACACCGGCCCTCGCGGCCAAAAAACGGACCGGCCCACCGGGAATTCTCCCGGTCCTCCCGATTAGCCAATCCGGGCCTGATGTGGACCCTAAATGGTAATTCTGTCATTACAGGTATTAGATATACGGTATTAGTTTCTCTCTAGGTTTTTTTTCCTTCTCTTTCGCCCATAGGTGAAGTTTTTTTTTCCTCGCCACAGTTGCCACTGGCTTGCATAGTTCAGGACTTGTAGAGTTGCGCATCGATGGATTAATCTCCAGTGTTTGGACTCCCAGCAATGAATATTAACCCCCACTGGACTGAGCTAATCTGAAATCTTTAAACTCTGAAAACTTAACTACACTGTTTCAAGTAACTATAATCTTCTATGTGAAGCTGCTTTGACATGATCTACATTGCAAAAGCGCCATAGAAATAAAAATGAATTGAATTGAATCATGATATAATCAGGTTAACTACGTTTACATATAATATCTTTAACTAGCTATTAGGTACTAGTTAATTATTAGTAACTAATACAGTTATGGAAACTGATAACCTTAACTCTTATGAATATAATTGTAATCCAATAATGTGCAAATTGTAGCTGCTTTGAAACAATAGTTATTGTGAAAAGCTTTATACAAATATACTTCAATTGAATAGTAGTGTGTGTGTGTGTGTGTACTCACGGTTTGACGCGGTTGATGAACATCCGCCGCAGCAGGACAGCGATGGTGCTCAGGACCATGATGGTGGTGCACATGTTGCTGGAGGAGAATGGAAAACACACACACAAACACACACTCACACCTCGGGACAGTCTCAGCGCTCGGGTCACACACACTTTCACAGCGGCCTGCGCGTGACTCAGATTATAGGGCTGGATTAGCGCTAATCTCAGTCAGCGTTAGCTGTGTGGGAGGATGGAGCCGTCAGCACCTGCTGCTGTTTGAGTGCTGACACAGCAGATAGCTGAACACACACGCACACAAACACACACACACATAGATACGCAGGCTTTACATTCATCTGCCTCGCTAGCATGTTTTGAGTGGTTGCCATAGTGTTGCGAGGAAGCTGTTTTGGTTGCTAGGGGGTTGTTTGGGTGTTTTGTACAATTAGGAGATTGTTAGGGTTTTGGGGGTTGCTAGGAGGTTAGTGTGTTTTCTGTTGCTAGGTAATGATGTTTTGCTTGGTTGTCAGTGTGTTGTTAAGTTGTTGTAACAACACTGACAAATGCTGTTCTGGGTTTCTTAAAGGATGCTAAAAAGTTGTAAGGGTAATTCAGATTTCTAGGGCATTTTGGATTCCTATAAGATCATTAGGGTGTTTTGGTTGGCTGTCTGTTGCTAGGGAGTTGTTATGGTGTTTTATGCAATTAAGTGATTGTTAGAGTGTTTTGGGGTGCTACTGTAGGAGGATGCTTAAGTGTTTTAGGTTGCTATGAAGATTTTACAGTGTTTTAAGTTGCTATGAGGATTCTACAGTGTTCTGGGTTGCTATGAGGATTCTACAGTGTTTTGGGTTGCTATGAGGATTCTACAGTGTTTTGGGTTGCTATGAGGATTCTACAGTGTTCTGGATTGCTATGAGGATTCTACAGTGGTTTGGGTTGCTATGAGGATTCTACAGTGTTTTGGGTTGCTATGAGGATTCTACAGTGTTTTGGGTTGCTATGAGGATTCTACAGTGTTCTGGGTTGCTATGAGGATTCTACAGTGTTTTGGGTTGCTATGAGGATTCTACAGTGTTTTGGGTTGCTATGAGGATTCTACAGTGTTTTGGGTTGCTATGAGGATTCTTGCTATGAGGATTCTACAGTGTTTTGGGTTGCTATGAGGATTCTACAGTGTTTTTGTTGCTATGAGGATTCTACAGTGTTCTGGGTTGCTATGAGGATTCTACAGTGTTTTGGGTTGTAATGAGGATTTTACAATGTTCTGGGTTGCTATGAGGATTCTACAGTGTTTTGGGTTGCTATGAGGATTCTACAGTGTTTTGGGTTGTAATGAGGATTCTATAGTGTTTTGGGTTGCTACAAGGATTCTACAGTGTTTTGGGTTGCTATGAGGATTCTACAGTGTTCTGGCTTGCTATGAGGATTCTACAGTGTTCTGGGTTGCTATGAGGATTCTACAGTGTTTTGGGTTGCTATGAGGATTCTACAGTGTTCTGGGTTGCTATGAGGATTCTACAGTGTTTTGGGTTGCTATGAGGATTCTACAGTGTTCTGGGTTGCTATGAGGATTCTACAGTGTTTTGGGTTGCTATGAGGATTCTACAGTGTTTTGGGTTGTAATGAGGATTCTATAGTGTTTAGGTTGCTGTGAGGATTCTACAGTGTTTTGGGTTGCTATGAGGATTCTACAGTGTTCTGGGTTGCTATGAGGATTCTAACATGTTTTGGGTTGCTATGTGGAATCTACAGTGTTTAAGGTTGCTACGAGGATTCTACATTGTTTTGGGTTGCTATGAGGATTCTACAGTGTTCTGGGTTGCTATGAGGATTCTACAGTTTTTTGGGTTGCTATGAGGATTCTACAGTGTTTTGGGTTGCTATGAGGATTCTACAGTGTTTTGGGTTGCTATGAGGATTCTACAGTGTTTTGGGTTGCTATGAGGATTCTACAGTGTTTTGGGTTGCTATGAGGATTCTACAGTGTTCTGGGTTGCTATGAGGATTCTACAGTGTTTTGGGTTGCTATGAGGATTCTACAGTGTTCTGGGTTGCTATGAGGATTCTACAGTGTTTTGGGTTGCTATGAGGATTCTACAGTGTTTTGGGTTGCTATGAGGATTCTACAGTGTTTTGGGTTGCTATGAGGATTCTACAGTGTTTTGGGTTGCTATGAGGATTCTACAGTGTTCTGGGTTGCTATGAGGATTCTACAGTGTTTTGGGTTGCTATGAGGATTCTACAGTGTTTTGGGTTGCTATGAGGATTCTACAATGTTCTGGGTTGCTATGAGGATTCTACAGTGTTTTGGGTTGCTATGAGGATTCTACAGTGTTCTGGGTTGCTATGAGGATTCTACAGTGTTTTGGGTTGCTATGAGGATTCTACAATGTTCTGGGTTGCTATGAGGATTCTACAGTGTTTTGGGTTGCTATGAGGATTCTACAGTGTTCTGGGTTGCTATGAGGATTCTACAGTGTTTTGGGTTGCTATGAGGATTCTACAGTGTTTTGGGTTGCTATGAGGATTCTCCAGTGCTTTAGGTTGTTATGAGGATTTTACAGTGTTTAGGTTGCTGTGAGGATTCTACAGTGTTTTGGGTTGCTATGAGGATTCTCCAGTGCTTTAGGTTGTTATGAGGATTTTACAGTGTTTAGGTTGCTGTGAGGATTCTACAGTGTTCTGGGTTGCTATGAGGATTCTACAGTGTTTTGGGTTGCTATGAGGATTCTACAGTGTTTTGGGTTGCTATGAGGATTCTACAGTGTTTTTGTTGCTATGAGGATTCTACAATGTTCTGTGTTGCTATGAGGATTCTACAGTGTTTTGGGTTGCTATGAGGATTCTACAGTGTTTTGGGTTGCTATGAGGATTCTACAGTGTTTTGGGTTGCTATGAGGATTCTACAGTGTTTTTGTTGCTATGAGGATTCTACAGTGTTCTGGGTTGCTATGAGGATTCTACAGTGTTTTGGGTTGTAATGAGGATTTTACAATGTTCTGGGTTGCTATGAGGATTCTACAGTGTTTTGGGTTGCTATGAGGATTCTACAGTGTTTTGGGTTGTAATGAGGATTCTATAGTGTTTTGGGTTGCTACAAGGATTCTACAGTGTTTTGGGTTGCTATGAGGATTCTACAGTGTTCTGGCTTGCTATGAGGATTCTACAGTGTTCTGGGTTGCTATGAGGATTCTACAGTGTTTTGGGTTGCTATGAGGATTCTACAGTGTTCTGGGTTGCTATGAGGATTCTACAGTGTTTTGGGTTGTAATGAGGATTTTACAATGTTCTGGGTTGCTATGAGGATTCTACAGTGTTTTGGGTTGCTATGAGGATTCTACAGTGTTTCTACAGTGTTTTGGGTTGCTATGAGGATTCCACAGTGTTCTGGGTTGCTATGAGGATTCTACAGTGTTTTGGGTTGCTATGAGGATTCTACAGTGTTCTGGGTTGCTATGAGGATTCTGCAGTGTTTTGGGTTGCTATGAGGATTCTACAGTGTTTTGGGTTGCTATGAGGATTCTCCAGTGCTTTAGGTTGTTATGAGGATTTTACAGTGTTTAGGTTGCTGTGAGGATTCTACAGTGTTTTGGGTTGCTATGAGGATTCTCCAGTGCTTTAGGTTGTTATGAGGATTTTACAGTGTTTAGGTTGCTGTGAGGATTCTACAGTGTTTTGGGTTGCTATGAGGATTCTCCAGTGCTTTAGGTTGTTATGAGGATTTTACAGTGTTTAGGTTGCTGTGAGGATTCTACAGTGTTCTGGGTTGCTATGAGGATTCTACAGTGTTTTGGGTTGCTATGAGGATTCTACAATGTTCTGGGTTGCTATGAGGATTCTCCAGTGCTTTAGGTTGTTATGAGGATTTTACAGTGTTTAGGTTGCTGTGGGGATTCTACAGGGTTGTAGGTTGTTATGAGGATTCTACAGTGTTTTGAGTTGTTATGAGGATTCTACAGTGTTTTAGGTTGTTATGAGGATTCTACAGTGTTTTGGGTTCACATTTTAACCTTATGAACTGAAGAGTGACTCAATGGTTGTCCTGAGTTTTGTCTGCATTGCTCAAACTTCTCGAAGACAATGCTCAGTCATGACGATTGTGTTTCGTGACTGACTGCATGATGCTGAAATTCATGCTGAAGCGTGTGCTGAGTCACAGTGATGATTCAGATGAGTCTCTCTGACGGTCATCACAGATAAGAAATGTGTGTCTGTTTCATTCACTCATCCACTAAACTAACCAGGCTGTTTATGTTTTCCCGCATAGCTTTAATACACCTACTGTTGCTCATATTGGCACTAGATGCAAGGATTTCCATCTAATAATGTGATAGTTCTCGCAAAAATTACAATTCTGCCATGTTTACTCTCCCTTCACTTGTTCTATTAGAGTTTCTGTCTCTTGTTGAAGACAGAAGACGATCGTTTGGAGACCTGTGACCATTGGCAGTCATAATATTAGTTTGCTACTATGGAAGTCAATGGTCTGTTGTGTTCAACAACTCATAAAGGTTTCATTGAGGGTGAGTAAATAGTGATTAATTACATTTTGCGGGCTAAACTACCCCTTTAATAGCTTTTTTTATTGCCAGTGTGTGAACGGCTTGTAAAGAAACTTAAATAAGAGAGGTCTGCTAGAGTTCAAATTAAAGAGTTTAATGTGAAGGAATCCAGAAAATCAAAATCATGTGCTATTGTGCCTAAAGCCGCTCTTGTGTCTGGGCCAGGTTTATGAGGTCTGTGTGTTCCTCTGTGCAGACTATTCTCACGTCTGTGTTTCTCTAAAGTTTCAGAAGAGATCTTTACAGACTGAGGTTGTTGAGTTTGTTGTCTCTTCTTAAATAATGTGGTATCAGAGAATAAAGTCAATCATTTTTAATTTAAAACATTAGAACAGGACACAATATACAGTCAAAACATCATGTCTGTGGGAAGTCCCCATAAAGATAGCCGGATAAGAGTGTGTGTGTGTGTGTGTGTGTGTGTGTGTGTGTGTGTGTGTTTGTGTGCATGTGTTTCTATGTCAGTTTGTGTGTCTGTGAATGTGTATCTGTGTCTGTGAGTGTATGTATGGGAGTGTGTGTGTATTTGAATATACATGTATGTGTGTATATATATATATATATAATATATATGTGTGTGTGTGTGTGTGTATATATATATTCATTCATTCATTCATTTTCTTTTTGGCTTAGTTCCTTTATTAATCAGGG